GAGAATCATTGATTGGCTGTCTCCTGAATGTCCCCTGGTGGGGATTAAGCCTGCAACCCAGGCATGTGCTCCTGCCTGGAATGGAACCTGGGACCTTTCAGTCCGCAGGCCGACACCCTATCCACTGAGCCAAACCAGCTAGGAAACATCATATCATGTTTTGCACACAAAAGTTTCACAGTATTAGTAGAGAACTGCAGTGGGATTAGCTGGGTGTTCGTGTATTACACAGTAGTATAGTTACATTACAAGTCACATCACACATTCATTTTATGAAGGAAAGTATTACACACTTACCATCTTTGTAATAATAACTTTCCAAGCTCATTAGCAGTAAAGTTGATAGTTAGAATAAAATAAAGTATTGCTTTAAAAATTTTTTGAAGTACTTATATTGAGATGCACTATCAAATTGGCCCCAAATATAACGGAGGTGTTCAAGACTTAGTTACTTATTAAAAAGAAGAAAATGATTTATAGCAATTATCTAATTTTAACAAAATAATATTATCCACCACATTAAATTAGTGTTGTGTTGATTCTGTAGTCTTGTATGTACATAATTTGTACATTGAAGTTAACTTTATAGTAGTATAAGAGCTGTAAGTAGAAGGACTTTATACATGGATTCATGAAAGTACATATTCAAGTAATATTATAATATAAATTTAAATAAACATCAGGGCTTTAGGATAATTATTTCCCTTCAAATAGGTCTGAACCTTATGCAAGTTTGGGAGACACTGGGCATTAAACCAACTTTAGTTTGGTCTACAAGACCTTCCGTGATCTGGCCCCACATAATACCACAGCTTCATTTCCTGCCACTCTCCTACTCAAATCTGAGGTCCTAACAACACTGTAATTTCCATGTTTTTACCCTAGCTGTTCCCTCCACTCAGAACAAGCCATCTAAATCTACTCAGCTAAAACAACAAGCATCACAGCCCATAGACATGTGTTGGGATTTTAATCCTCCCAGAGTGATAATTAAGGATTATTTACCCAAATGAATAAAATGATACAGAATGTCTAGCATCTCTAATGGTAACAGGTACATGACAACTCTCCTCCATTATTGAAAAGTATGGCTGGACATCGTAAGGCCACAACATGGGATGCAATAGGGTCACACTAAGGGAGGCGGTAATCCAGCCAAGATGGAACCTTCTGCCCAAAACAGGTCTAGGCACTTCCCAAATGTTTTGCTTTATAAATACTGGGGGGTTTTTTTAATCAGAAGAAGAGATGAACAACTTTGGTCTACATTGGTGATAACCTTTTTGGCATGGATGTCAGTTCAGAAAAATTAAAAATCTATGCAACCTGCATTTAATTTTCATTCAAAATAGTTCATTTATGGAGTCCCAGGCTGAAATATGTATTCTTAAAACAAAAATTGTATGCTTTATTGATTCGAAGACCACTAATGAGAAAAATTCCCGTTACTTTTCAGCTACTAAAATATTACTGAGTACATTTGAGAAGTAACAATACCTAAGCATCTTTTAAAACTCTTATCCTAAAATTAGATATAGATCTAGGTGGATGATATGTGGCCTGCAGCTGACAGCCCGTTGACCTAAAGGAAGAGAAAAGGGAAAATATTTCTCCCTGAGTCAGTCTAAGTTTAGATTGCCTAGGGATTCAGAAACAGCTTTTAATTAATATTTTACTTTCTATTTGCTTGTAGGTTTTTATAGCCCAAATAAAATTTCAGGTTTTAAAATACTTATCTAGCCCTAGCTGGTTTGGCTCAGTGGATAGAGCGTCAGCCTGTGGACTAAAGGGTCCTGGGTTTGATTCCAGTCAAGGGCATGTACCTTGATAGCAGGCTCTTTCCTGGCCAGGGCTCTGGTTGGGGCTTATGCAGGAGACAGCCCATCGATGTGTTTCTCTCACATCGATGTTTCCGTCTTTCCTCTCTCTTTCACTCTCCCTAAAAACCAATGAAAAAGTATCCTTGGGTGAGATTAACAAATAATCCTATATAATAAAAGGCCAGCAACCATAACGACAGGAATGACCACCAACCAGTCGCTATGAGGTGCATTGACCACCTCTCGGTCCCTCCGCATCAGCCCGCAGGCTCCCATCGAAGCATGGCAAACGGGGAACCACAGGGAACCGGGTGGGTAGCAGCGGCAGCCAGAGAGAAGCAGCCGGGTTTCGGGTGGGTGGCGGCAGCAGCTGGAACGAAGCAGCCCCAGGGCCCGTCCAGGTGCCTGGCAGTGGCGGCCAGAGCAAAGCAGCCGGGGTCCCAGGTGCCCGAGCGGAGCTAGTGCCAGCAGAGGGGGGAAGGAAGGCCTACTCTTGCATGAATTTTTGTGCATCAGGTCTCTAGTAATATATTGCATGCTATATTCTATCTGTAGTAAGTTTAACACAATTTTTTCAACATTGTAGTAATTTTATTTTCTTCTGGATTTATTCTATTAACTAATGCAAATAATCAATGGAGCGCTAGTCCTGCAAGATATTCTGAGAAGCAGAAATTCAAAGTCAACTAAGTGGAAAATTATGTATATGGTATTCAATTCACATGAACAAATTGTAGATAAATACTCTGAGAAATAAAGCCTATTTAGTTAGACCTAGCCAGTTTGGTTCAGTGGATAGAGCGTCGGCCCATGATTGAAGGGTCCTAGGTTCAATTCTGGTCAAGGGATCATGCCTGGCTCGTGGGCTCGGTCCCCAGTTGGGGACGTGCAGGAGGCAGCCGATCAATGATTCTCTCTCATCATTGATGTTTCTATCTCTCTGAAATCAGTAAAAATATATATTTTTTACAAATCAATGGAAAAAATATCCTCTGGTGAGGATTAACCAAAAAATAAAAACCGAAAGCACACACACACACACACACACACACACACACACAAAAGAGAACTATTTAGCCTCGTTTAATGCAGTATTTCTCAGACTTATTTGAATGTGAAATAACAAAGGGAAGGGAAGGCCTGCTGTGAAGAGCAGAGGGATGAACCTTATCAGTGCTTGCTTGAGTGAGGCTGACTGAAAAGGGCTCATAAAAACCGGGTGGCTTCAGTCAAGCTGACAGCTTAAGTCCAGAAGATTCCATTCCGGCTGAAGTGACCCAAGCAATCTCAGATGAGCCAGGATAACAGTAACAACTGTTACTGCCATTATTTCTGCTTCAATTTGTTAATTGCTCAGGATGGAAGGCACTATACATACATTATCTCTAACCTCATAAAACTCCTGCAAGATAGGTTTCATCCGATTTTATTTATTTGTATTTATTTATTTACTTTTAACAATTACTTTTTTTAAAATTATTGATTTCAAGAGAGGAAGGAGGAGGGAGAGAAAGATAAAAACATCAATGATGAGAGAGAATCATTGATCAGCTGCCTCCTGCATGACCCACACTGAGGATCAAGCCGCAACCGTGACCTCCTGGTTCATAGGTCGACGGTCAACCACTGAGCCACGCCAGCTGGAGCATCCTCCAAATTTTAGAGATAAGGACTCTGAGGCTGAGAGAAAGTGAAATTATCCCAGCAGAAATGGGATTTGGTCTTAGACCCATCTTACTGCACCATACCGGCTCAGTCTTAAGCTTCTTCATTGACGCAACTGCTCTCCCTTTGTTCTCCAAGCCACAGATTACCCTCTCTGGAGTCTTCCCTAACAGAAATAATTCTAGGGAAAACAGGTTAAACCACTGATTATTTTGGCCACTTAACTATACCATGTCTGCTTTCCTCTCTGAACCAAATATTTGGACATTCTAAATCTGACGAGACCTCTGATCACCTAGGCATGAAATGGTATTTTGAAATTACTTCTCGAGTCTCTTTAAGAATCACACAAGCCCAGCCAGTGTGGCTCAGTGGTTGAGCATTGACCTATGAACCAGGAGGTCACAGGTCGATTCCTGGTCAGGACACATGCCCAAGTTGCGGGCTCGATCCCTACTGTGGGGCTTGCAGGAGGCAGCCAATCAATGATTCTCTCTCATCATTGATGTTTCTATCTCTCTTTTCCTCAATAAAAAAAAAAAATTTTTTTTGTTTTAAAGAATCACATAAGAAAATCAATCTTAACAGTCAAAACCAACTCAAACACCTATTGAGGCCAAGCAGATAACATGAAGGAGTGGAGCTGGTCAGGAACAAGACAACAGTTGGTGACAAACTGTGATTGCTCCACCAAAGGGCTTAACTGTTTCTTAGCTTTGGCATATTGTTTATTTATTGTATATTTTTCAAATGAATCCAGAAACACAGTTTTTATGTAAAATCTCCCAATTCCAAAATGTTGACAACTAATTTCTTTTTTTTAAAT